AAAAAAAAAAAAAAAAAAAAAAACACAAAGAGTTTCATTCCAAAACCAAACATGATGATATATATCAATGTGAAGTGAAGATTAAACACAATAACAGATGATGATTGATGAGTGTCTGCAGGTTGATAAGAAATGTGTGGATGACCTTAATTAATTTCAGAGTATTGGCACAAGACAAGTTGAAAACATATGATCTTTCACATTCAGTCCCAAGTTAATATGAATGACCTTACAGTTGTTGATATGTTAGTTATATTATATATATCGACTGACCTTACAGTTGTTGATATGTTAGTTATATTATATATATCGACTGTATGGCCATTCGTTTTTATACGTTTTTTCAACAGATATACGTACCTTTAGACTTGAATATCATACTTAAAAAATAACATAGACAACAATATGATATTTTATATTATATGTATTTCTTTCTTTTCTTTTTTTCTTTGAAAAAAAAAAGTAAAGAGATTTTTGTGGAGCAAATGAAATGTTGAGGATTTTTTATTATTTATTTTCTTTTTTTTTTCTTTTTTTTTTTGGTTATTGTAAGTAAAGAGATTTTTTAGGACATGATTTATTTAAGACCCACTCTCCCATGAGTGAATATGCTTCAAAAATCTCTCTTCATAATTGATGGGTATTTCCATATCGAAATTAACAGATATATTAAGATATGTCCAATACTAATATAAATACCTTTGTACTACCTCTCTTTTTCTTTTAAAAAAAAATGTCATTTTGGCTCTATGAGTTATTAACAAAATAAATGACATTTTGGATCTTTTGTACATATTTTTCCATTATTACCCTCATTTAATTGATAATACACTACGATCTTTTCATATTCACTTTTCATTTTTTCTCAAAACATCTACAAATATTTAAATACTTATTTTATTTTATGACCACAATTAAACAATCATGTTTAATTATGACCACAATTTAGTTTCTTGGTTAAAAACTTACGAAAACAATAATTCACTATTAAAATCATGTTTCACGTCACGTTACAAGTTGGTGAAAAACTTATGAAAACAATAATTCACAATTAAAAAAAAAATTAACTTAAATGATTTCTTCCCCAGTTGCACCTAAAATGCTTAATTAGAATCAAATTAATAAAAAAAAATTAGGTAGACCTATATATATATATATATATATATATATATATGCGTGTCATGATTCTTATTATTAATGCTTTTCCAAGGTTTGTTGTTTGGTGCGATCATTAACAATTTTTAATGTATATTTTTCTCATAAAGACAATTAAGGAAAAGGTAAGTGACAAATGATGTCATAGCCACTTGTAATAATTCGTCCAAATCATCACCTACAAATTTGTTCGCCATGTTCGTGCTCTTTCTTTGAAGGAAGACAAAATATCAAGGCATACATATTTTGAAAAATTTTAGTAGAAAAATTGGGTGTAGTTTAGCTATCAATATTTGAAGTCTAGTTAATTTAATGTAAAATTCGTATTTATCAAGCATTAACGAGCTGAACTGAGCTGAGATGAATTCGTTAATTAAACAAACACTACAAAAAAAAAAAAATAATAATAATGAACTTTCAACAAAAATATATTCCAATAGAATTATTTCAACGGCAATTCCAATGGATATTTCAATGTTATTATTTTCGTTGGAATTTTCGTTGGAACAATTCCAACGGAAGCTATATTATTGGAATATCCGTTGAAATTTCCATTGGAATATATTACTATAGGACTCACCGTTGGAATATAACAATCTTTTTGTAGTGAAACCCTAAACAAACTAGAGTTCGGCTTATTTGTTAAACAAGTCGAGTCAAGCCAATATCACAATTGACTTGTTTTTTCTAATAGCGTGTGTCAGCCCAATTTGAGCGCAATTACAACCCCGACTCGTTTATCAAATGCGTCGCATCGATTTCGAGTCTTAACAAGTTGAGTTAAACTCATGATTCAAATTATTAATGCGTCACGTGTCATGATTCTAATTATTAATGCTTTTCCAAGGTTTATTATTGTTTGGTGGGATCATTAACAATTTTTAATGTATATTATTCTCATAAAGAAAACTAAGGAAAAGGTAAGTGACAAATGATGTCACCTCCAAATTTGTTCGCCATGTTCGTGCTCTTTCTTTGAAGGAAGACAAAATATCAAGGCATACATATTTTGAAAAATTTTAGTAGAAAAATTGGGTGTAGTTTAGCTATCAATATTTGAAGTCTAGTTATTTTAATGTAAAATCCGTATTTATCAAGCATTAACGAGCTGAACTGAGTTGGGATGAATTCGTTAATTAAACAAACACTACAAAAAAAAAGATGAAATTTCAACAAAAATATATTCCAATAGAATTATTCAAACGGCAATTCCAATGGATATTTCAATGTTATTATTTCCGTTGAAATTTTATAATTGCTTTCAACGGAAATTCCAACAAAAATATTCTGTTGTAATGAGTTTTCCATTGGAATTTCTGTTGGATTTTGACGATTCCAACGGTGGATTTTCCAACGGGGGTGGAAATAAAAATTTCAACGGAAATTACATATTCCAACGAAAATTCATACGGCAAAAAGCAGTTGGAAATATAGATGTTGGAATCATCAATTCCATCTAAAATTCCAATGAAAAATACATTCCAACAGAATATTTCTGTTGGAATTTTCATTGGAACAATTTCAACGGAAGCTATATATTATTGAAATATCTGTTGAAATTTCCATAGGAATATATTGTCATAAGATTTTCCGTTAGAATATAATGAATTATTTGTAGTGAAACCCTAAACAAACTCGAGTTCGACTTATTTGTTAAACAAGTCGAGTCAAGCCAATATCACAATTGACTTTTTTTTTTTTCTAATAGCGTCTATGAGCCCAATTTGAGCGCAATTATAAGCCCGACTTGTTTATCAAATGCGTCGCATCGATTTCGAGTCTTAACAAGTCGAGCTAAACTCACGAGCGTTTCGTTTAACAACACTAACAACATGCGATGAGCGGAACTCGAACTTTAAGGGGTTGAGCTAAGTTTACGAGCATCTCGTTTCATTTAACTAACAACAACGCAAAGAACAATTAAATAATTAAAAAACCAGAGCACTACAAATGATTATTACTAGAGCAAGACACCATGTATTATATGGGTTGTAGTTTAAAAAATTATACTTACATTTATTAAATAAAAAAGAGAAGTCTAGTTTAAAAATCAGTTTACTTTAAAACGTCAACGATTATTCGTACGACTTACTCGTCTTATATTATAATAGTTTATTCTAACTTGTATAATATATAATAACTTTATTGATAAATTTATAGTATTTTTCAATCAATAATAATAGATAACTTAGCTTTATACAAAAATAAATATACTTATTTATTTTATTTATGCAATGTAGATGTTGAATCGAAATTCGGTCATATAACTAATTTGATATAGTATATTAGTATGTATGAGAAAATGATAACAAATATAAAAATGAAATATATATGTAATTAAATTAGTCAAAATATTTTGATCACTTAAAAGTCGTAATATATAATAATAGTAATAGATAGAAATCCACAACTACACAACTACTCTTTGAGCCCAATTGACAGGCGGCCTCAATAGTTTTCTATTTTGAGTCCAATTGCACTGCTCTTTTTTATTATTATTTATTTGTTTTCCTAATTTATATTGGAAAAGTAAATATAATAATATTCTTCAGATTATTAATAAGCCGGTGAATGAATGATTAGCTGTGTACAGAGGCGTAGTAGTCTCTCTCTCTCTCTCTCTCTCTCTCAAACACCACCACGCATAAGTTGAATTCGGATTGCTTGCAAGTTGCAAGATTGATTTTATTTTTTTTCTTCGAAAGGTAACTAAAAAACATTGGCTGTTTGTTATATATATTTAGCTATTTCTTCCTCTTTTCTAGTTAGGAATTTCTGGGGAATATTCGTTTCTGTATATGCTTTTTTCCTCTTATGTTTTACCCTTTTGTGAATATTCGTATATTGAGGAGGTATAGAATTGTTCTTCATGGGAAAGATTTGCATCAGGTGATATTTGCTGATTCAGTAGATCTCTCTCTCTCTCTCTCTCTCTCTCTCTCTCTCTCTCTCTCTCTCTCTTTTTTTATTTTTTTTTCCTTTAAATTGGGTTTCAAACTTGGAATTTGATAGCTTGTGGATCTGTTTATTCAGTTCTTATATAAGGTGATATTTGTTAATTCGAATCGCTAAACTATTGTTCTTGTTAATTATTCCCCACACATTCAATTTATCTTAATCCCTGATGGTGAATTATTCATTTGATTTTCAGATTCACATCTCGTCCGTTTACAGTTGAAAGTGTATCGGGCACTTTCAACATCTGTTACCTAGGGTTTGGTCGAAATTCCCAAATCTCCCTCGATTTTCTCTAGTTCGAAAAAAAAAAAATAACCAGGGAATGCTGAAAGATGTGCTTGCTGGATAGAGGACAGTCATTCTGTGTCTTTTACGAGGCAGGAGCTCAATCAGAGCTGCCATCTTTAATCCTTGCCAAGATTGGACTCGTAGATTACAGCCCTAAATACACCCTCTTCCAAAAGCCTGCTTTGGCCAAGTATATGAGAGAACAAATTGTCTCCTACGAGGACGGTTGAGAGCCACTGCATTCTTGACAAGAGAGGGGGAAAAAAAAAAGTTACAGTTTCTCTAGGTAGCCAATAAAAAAGTATTGCTTTTTTTTTTATATTTATTTTTTAAAAGATTTAGTTAGATTCGTAATCGCATATGGAAGAAAAAGGAGGTGTCTTGATGCAAAAGTATGAGCTGGGAAAATTGCTCGGGCAGGGCACTTTCGCCAAGGTTTACCACGCCAGGGATATCAAGAACGGGAATAGTGTAGCTATCAAGGTTATGGACAAGGAGAAAATTTCGAAAGGTGGGCTGGTCGAGCAAATCAAACGGGAAATTTCGATAATGAGCCGTGTAAGGCACCCAAATATCGTGCAACTTTACGAGGTCATGGCCACCAAAACCAAAATATATTTCGTGATGGAATATATGAAAGGCGGGGAGCTCTTCAACAAGGTGGCCAAGGGAAAACTGAATCCCGAAGCTGCACGAAAATATTTTCAGCAGCTGATTAGCGCCGTCGATTTTTGTCACAGCCGGGGAGTTTATCACAGGGACCTCAAGCCTGAGAACCTTCTACTCGACGAGAATGGAGATTTGAAAGTCTCGGATTTCGGGCTTAGCGCACTTCCCGAATCGAGAAGGCAAGACGGGCTTTTGCACACTATGTGCGGGACCCCGGCTTATGTGGCGCCTGAGGTTGTCAGCAGGAGAGGATATGACGGTGCAAAAGCCGATATCTGGTCGTGTGGGGTTATCCTGTTTGTTCTGTTGGCTGGCTATCTACCTTTTCACGACTCAAATTTAATGGAGATGTACAGGAAAATAGGAAAAGGGGAGTTCAAGTGCCCGGTGTGGGTCCCGCCGGATGCCCGGAGGCTGATTTCGAAGATGTTGGATACAAATCCGAGTACGAGGATAAGCATGTCCAAGATCATGAATAATTCTTGGTTTCGTAGGGGTTTTCACCATTCGAAGTCCGTGGGGAAAAATGCCGATAATGATTTTGTTGCAACTCGTGGGGGTGTTATTAATTTGAAGGAAGAAGAAGCAGTTGAGGAAGAAAATGTTGAATTGGGAAAGCCAGTAAATCTAAATGCTTTTGAAATAATTTCGCTATCTGCCGGTTTTGACTTGTCGGGCATGTTCGAGGAGGACGGGAGTCGAAAGAAAGAGGTCAAGTTCACGACCAACCAGCCGATCAAGATTGTTATCTCCAAATTGGAGGAATTAGCCGAGCGTCTGAAGATGAAGGTGATGAAAAAGAAGCACGGAGGGTTTTTGAAAATCGAGGGCTCGAAAGAAGGGAGGAAAGGCGTTTTGTCGATCGATGCAGATATTTTCGAGGTGGGCCCGGATTTTCGCTTGGTAGAGATGAGAAAGTCGAATGGGGACACGCTGGAGTATCGGAAGCTGATGGATCGGGAAATCAGACCGGCTCTGAAAGACATTGTGTGGGCGTGGCAAGGGGACGATCCTCGGCCAGTGCAGCAACTGCAACTGGAGGAGCCAGAGTCTGTACCAACCCAAGTTACAGAGGCCTAAGTGAGATCATGTGAAATTATTTTTATAGTAGTTTATATTAGTTTAATTGTAATTAACATTAAGTGGTGCGAGACTGGAGATGTTCTTCTGGATAGTTCAAGCCATTCTACTTCTAGCATGGAGGCTTATTCTGGATTTATATTATTTGAACGTGTTTTTCTCCTTTCTGCCAATGGTTCCATGATTCCATCTCATAGAGAACCCAAAAATATAAGGTATTTAGTGTTCTAAATGAAAAAAAGCGACTATATAGCGAATCCAGTTTAGTACTTACACATATTCGAATTTACTAGTTTAGTACATAGAATCTAATCAGTATCGTGTTAGAAAACCGGACGCAAAAGAAGACTGGATCAACCAAACTTCCGTTGAAGCCTTTTTTGTAATAAAAAAGGAACAACATATATCAAAATTCCAAGAGGGATTTCATTACTAATTAAGACCATAAATGTGTCAAATTTTACCGAACAGGCCATCCGTCAATTGCACCTTTCCGCATCTGTTAAAACTGAAAACACCACGACGTGAAAAAAACTTGCCACATAACCGTAAAGTGGCTCTCCCTTTCTCTCAGTCAGATCGGAATAAAAGAATATTCAGTCCTGCTTAATACCCAATTATATACCGGACAAAGAGAAATGCATTCCATTAAAAGGTGCTATATGCTAAAGTGTAAATCTCCCTTGTACAGAAAAAAAGAAGGAAGATGCAAGTGTTCTATAAATCCCCTCAAGAAGAGGCTTGTTTTTTCCTCACCAGAAGAGGAGTTGTACTCGGATTTTCTCATACTTACTCATTTCCTTCCTTTTCTTCTTCTTCTTCTTTTTCTTTTTTTTTTTTTTTTTCCTTCTATCTAATAATACCTTATCACCAAAGAGACTGTACATCTAGAGGGTTGTACAAGCCTCCAATGTGAGGCCTCATGGCCGGAGAGTTCCCAACACCATCTCGTGAACCCTGCACGGTCCAGTCTTTTCTGCAAAAAAAATAAAAATAAAAATGACTCAGATATGAAATACGAGTTGCGAACGAGGAAGCACTTGATTGTAGCACATGAAAGTATAAAACTAGAAAGCTAAAAAGAGTAATACAGCACGGCACTTGAGTGTCTAAGACCAACATGTAAATGTCCAATAGAAAATTCCTGTAGAACTGACTAAGTTCAGAGCTTCAGAATATTTAAAATGGATCAACACCACCACCCTTGAAAATGAAGTTACTCTGTGCCTGGCCTCAGATGAATTTCAAGCTATGTTTGTACCGATTATGCAGAAGAAACATCATTTTAACAATGAGCCATCAAGTTTACCATAGATCAATATCATGTTCTGTTTGCAATTTTCATGAAGGCAGTGTTGTTAGAGGCAATTATACCTATGTACATAATACAATGCCACAAAAATAAAACTTAAATTCTTCAAACCATAACATATTGAAACTATTTTTACATGGGTACTTCAATACGTTATGATGTAGTGTCATTTAAACCTTTACCTGGCAACAGAGACAAATAGGGAGAAACGTAGCATATAACTCATCAAGAAGTACTTACTTAGGCCAACAATCCGCAGCAGACAGGTCAAGTTGTTGGTTAACTACAGGACCTCTGGGATTTCCATAGATAAGGCCATTCTGAAGAGCATCCTCCTTAGGTTTCTGCAGAATATGATTTTGCAGACCCATACTTGGCCCAAATAAAGTTCTCGGTAACCATGGATCATCAACATTAGAAGGTAAAGATGTATTCAATGCTCCACCATTTGGAGCATGCCCAAACAAAACATTCTGTGAAGGATGACCGCTAGGTACGGCTTGCTCATCTTTCTTGAACAGGGACGCCATCGTTTTACGAGGGACTGAATGGATATTATCCTCCTTTTTGGGCAAGTTCATCTCTGGATACAAATGCCAGCCGATGACGGGCCCACCAACTATACCAAGACCATCCTGACCAAGGGGACAGCTATTCCACATCTGCCATGTTCCATTGTCATTTGTGTTGTTGGAATTACTATCCTGAGACTTCGGAGTACCCGGTAAAAAAAGAGAACTCACATGCCGTTCCTCAGACACACGTGATCGTGACAATGGAGACTCAATCGGTGATGGCTTGGTAACCAAAGAAGGTGCGGCTTTAGTCTTCACATGACCTGGTTTGTCCAATCTAGGATCAGTTGCAAAACCCCGATCCAGCTGAAAGTTGTCAAGCGATTCAGAAACAGGCCCAAGCAAGGATATAGGGTCTGGAACATAACAAGGGTCTTCAAAAATCTCCAATTCCTCTGGTAAAAGCTGGTGTGGGGAATCTAACATTTTAGGAAGCATGGCACCAGAGGATACTGGGGGAATAGTACTGCTGCCACTATTAGATCCAAAAGGAATCGCAGGTAAACTAAATGGGTTTGCCAAACCAAAATTAATAGGGGTTTCAGATGATTGTGTCGAGGTGGGATGGCCAGAAACGGGCTGGTCCTGAACTTCTGCTTTGTTGTTCCCTGTTGGTCTGCTTATGACATTAGGATTCGAGGGTGGTGGAGAACCAGCAGAAGATCGAGTAAATAATTGCTGCCATGATTTTTTAGGAGCAGTACTTGGTTGAGGTTCAATGAATACCTACAGACAGTAGAACACTTGGCATTAATGTGTATTTCAGGAACATGGAGCAAACAACATAAGACATCTGTAACCCTATGGTGATTGTATAACAACTCTTTCAATAAGACCAAACATGACAAACTCATAAATCAAATTGCACTTGTAGTCTCCAAATTAATTAGATTCAGGAGCTGTATATGTATATTATAGAATGACCAACATCAACAGGACTAACTAATGTCAGCATACACAATCAATGATAAGTTGCTAATAAATTGCCCCCAAACCACTCACCGTCCCCCATACCACTCCTAATAACAAATAAGGTAAAGTACACAAAAAGAAAGGGAAAAATCTTTTTACAATTTGTCTCAACAAGAGAAAGATTGTTAAAGCTCTCAACTCATGATTGGCGAATTCCAACACATTCAAATAAAACAACTTACGTGGCGAATAGCACTCTTATCATCCCCACTTCCTGTTGATCGCCCAGAAACTCGGTCGGGTATTTCTTTCCTATATGACGAAGGTTGACCATTTCCTACCAATCCGCTGGGTTTGTGATCTCTAGAAACAACAGAAGTATTCGTACCCTTTCCAAAGAACCCACCTCCAGTGAATGCCCTAGAAGAAGATAGAAAAGTACCCCTCATCCTATCAAAGTATCTCGTCCCAGCATTCCCTCGGCTAGCACCAGCACCCTTAAACACATGGCCAACTTCAGTGCCATGAGTTCTCAAGCTATCAGGTGTACTGTTGTGTTGCTCCCTTTCATTCTTATAATTTTGTTTGCCTCCTCTCTTTTCCAACTCCTCAACATCAGAGTTGCTCTTACTCGACCCCTTATCTCTCTCCTTCTTCCTTTCTTGACGCTTCCTTTCAGCTTCCTTTTTGCTATCTCTTGCCTTTGCCCGAGGAGAGCCATCCTTTCCACGATCTTTTCCAGCCTCCATTTTTTCGTCCCGTAGCCTCCTCCTTTCTTCAACTAACCTAGCAACCTCCTCTCTTTGCTTTCTCTCCTCCTCCTCTAATAGCTCCTTCTCTAATCTAGCCTGCCTCTTCTCCTCGGCTTTCCTGCGCGCTTTCTCCCCTCTACTCTCCTGACCACTCCCGCCATTCTCGCCTCTATTATCCAACATTCCTCGACGATCTGCATCGACTGAAGCATCATTTCTGGAGGAACTAACCCTAAAAATCTTTCTCCAAACCCACACGACACTCAAGAAAACAGTTGTTAGTGCCCTGCAAGCAAAAATAATAACACGAGAATAAGAATTCTCCGCCAGACAATGGTCATCGTCCCCACTGAATAAACCCCCACCACTCTTCCAATAACTCGATTTCACAGCAAAAGGACCTCCGCCCAAATTCCCGTTCTCCAGCCAGTCTTGCCCACACATCCACCCATTGTCAGACCAAGCCTTGCCGTTCAATATCTTCCCACCTTTACCCACTAGATCTTTCAGAATCCCCGAATTTCCCGTCCCACCGGGCACGGGCAAGTCCAAGACCGGCCTTTTTGAAATATGGCCGCAGTAGGAGCACATAAACTTTCCCCCACCAGGATTCTGATCCCGATACGCGGTCAGACAATTCCTACACCTCCGAGTGGCGGTCTTCCTCAGTTTCTGCATCTCAATAGCCTCGAACCTCTTCCTCTCCCTAAGCCTAGCATTCCTCCTGATCCTCCATGCTGACAGCTGAGGCATTAGAACCTCATACCAGAAGAGGGTCACCAACAAGACTAATACACAGGCAAGCCTCGGAGACGTAATTTCAAACCGGAACGCGGGCGGCAGGAGCTGAGACAGGGCCCACAGAGCAATAAGTGGAATCACTAGCCATGGCAACATGGTAGCAATCCTCCTCGACCACTTCTGAATCACGCAGAGTATACACATTATCCTCCTTATCCCATACCTCTCTTCCCCAGTCTCGAACACAACCGAAGAAAGAAAGTCCAACAGATCACAGCTTCCCCAAGTCAAATTAATCAGGGACTTCCCACTTTTTCCAAACCACCAAGACAAAATAACTTAACCTCAGAGCTTCTATCCTCCCAAAATGCTTTAATGCAAAACCGAATCTAGCAATTTATCCAAACCCTAGTGAGGCGATTTCAGTGGAGCCACCTAATTACCAGAAAATTAGAATAGAAAACAATGTCAGATTCTCCTAAAGAGAACAAACATATTAACTAGGGTTTCGGAACCGTGTTTTTTTCAAGCTCCGAAACCTTGATGACACGAAACGAATAAAAAAAATCAATTAACAGAACATGAAGGACCAAATGAAAGCTATAATGGAGGATGAACCTGGACGCATACCAATATCCCGGCCATCGGGAAAAGGTCGGCGGCGAAATTTCCAGACAGAATCTGTTGATTTTAGTAGAGAAAATCAATTGACAAGAAAATTTGTGATAAGAGAGAAACATCAAGCGGAAGGGAAAAATGAAGATGTGGCTATTGAGCTGACCTTATAGGCTTTAGGTCAGACCGCAATGTCTGGCCACGAACCGGGTTAGTGCCTGGACCGGTTCTAGAAACTATGGTAAACTAAATTCAAATTCATTTACATACTCGTTTAGTTAAAAAGTCAAGCTTTACCTGATAAAATTTGAGCTCAACGAGTTCGGATTTGAGCTTGGTTTGTTTTTTAGCTCGGTTTGAATCGAGTTCTAGCATGGGCATAAAAAACCTCGAATTTAACTTAGCGTGTTTTATATAATTGTTATTGAATGAGTAGTTGTTTAGCTAGTTACATTGTTGTTATTATTATTATTATTTAACTCAAACGTTTGTTCATTCTATTAAAAGCTGATTCTTAAAACCTGATTATCACGTTTTCACATTAATAGAATTGATTCACATTAATAGGATCGAAATCATACTAAAATATATTTGAAAATTGCGTAAATAAAGTTGGACTTAACAAGTCTTCACGAGAAAGTTGAATGCTCCATTGATTAATGCAGTGTTGTTGACTTTAAAAGCTAGGCATGCCTTTTGCTTTTTCTTTTTTCTTTTCAAAAACTCTATTTTGGATGGAAAGGTTACAACTTCCATTGAAGTGAGCTCTATTTCTTAAGCTCGAGCTATTATTATTATTGAGTCGAGTGCAGTTGAGCTTGCTTTGTTAATTAAACGAGTCTCTATATACGATCGAGTTCAATTTGTTTATTAATATTAACGAGTGAAGCAATAAAAAATTACATAGAAATTTCTATTTTCAAGTCTAACCGATCTCGACTCGCTAAACAAGCTAATGACACGAGCGACTAATTTAGGAGACAGTTTAGAATATGTAAAATCATGGAGAAATTTAGAAAACATTTTAGAATAACGTGTACATACAAGAAAGTGTGGCCGTAAGGTGGATAATTTTCTCTTGATTTTTTCTAATACAAGAACCACGCCCGAGCCTAGTGTCGAACCATGGCTCATTGTGGCCCTTTTCCTTTCAAGTCAAGATCATGCGTGTATATTAGAGGGTGATTAGATATTTTTAAGCTTAAGTTTCAGCCTAAGCCATGCCTAAAATTGAATTAGCCAAAGTCAACATTCATTAGCATTATTTAAACCTTAAACTAGTATAAGCGTGCATTAAAAAATTGGTTGTGAAGTTAATTCTATTTCCATCACACAATTTTGGCTAGCTGATGCAGATAAATAAATATATAGGATCTGTTTTATGTTAAATATGCACCAACAACACCAAACAATTTAAAAGGTTTGTAGATTTTAATTTTGTACAACTTAGATTCTTCCCTATCATTGAAGAAACTCACTATTGCAATCACAGGTGCCAATAAACCATTAATTTTTTAATGACATAGACCAAATGCTACAACAACAACAATAATAGTAAAAAACCATTATTATTTGAAATGATGATTGAATTGAAATGGAAAACATAATGTCAACCTCCTTAAAATTAACTCACTTCGATATAATATTCATCAGGCGAAGCTAATAATATTCATACATCTTTATTCATACTTCACAAGTAATATTTCTGCACATAATATTCATTCAATTGTTTAAAGAAATGATCACAAATGGCTAACAATACCTAACATTCAAACACCACTTGCTTTCCAAAACATTCTCTTTTGGCATCTACATTTGGTATGCTCAAAACTGACCGTTATCGATCAAACTACACAGCTTGTATATATGTTTTGAAGGCTCAAGAAATTGAGAATTCTATGCAGAAGCTCATGTTTCGAACCAAGTTGCATCATCTGGAGAGAACAACAACAAAAAAAAAAGGTTCAATGTTTCACCTCAGCGCGCAAGCAAGTACTGACTAATCTCTGAACATAATCAACAACCCTTTTCCTCCCCTCTTCAGACACAGAATTGAGCTGGACCTTCCGGATAATTTCATGGGCCGCCCTTTCGGCTATAGCCCAGTAACCCGTTCCAATCTCAGAAAGGTTTAGCTCTGCGGGCGACGACGAATTTGAAGTAACGGGCTTCAACTCTGCCGCTGCACCGCCTTCCAGAAGCTCACCCATTAGTGGTTTTAATTTATATTCAAGAAAAGAAGAAACGAAACATCTGAGCTTAATCTTATTCACTCAAAAATACCAAAACCAAAACACTCACATTCGATCAAATGAATACAAAATTATACAGAAAAATATATATATATATAAAAGAATCTGACAAATAAAAAGCAGAAAAGGCAGTGTCTTTCTTCCCTCACTGTATTGAAATGGCGAACAGAAAAGGGCCCGACAAGCAAACGAACAGAAATCAATGGAGTTATTAGAGACAGAGCTTGTTCGAAAACCCATCATCACTACTGTTAGGTGGAGCAGAAACTAACGCAGCATAAATACACACAAATCTGCAAATTCAAGTTTGGATTTTGTGCGTAAATATGCATTCGATCATGTGAAATATGCATTGGATTTTCTTGATCGCCGAATGCACCACTTTTTTTCTTCTCTTTCGTATTTGTAAAAATTGCACGTATTAAAGTTCAAATTTTTATAATTTCTTATAGACCATATAGTCAAGAAAGGCTAAAAATATTTCACCTTCCTTATATTTCATATTTCCAAAAGTCTTTATCAATTATGGGGAATTTGCTTTTTTTTTTTTAAGAAAAAATTTGATTAATTTCGTTGAGGATAAAAGGATGATATACATGATAAATGCCTTGAGGGTTCATGCCTTTGTAGTTTGCAAAATTGGACATTTGATTGTCATTGTAAAAAAATAAAAAATATAAAATAATCTTTATAATTGTGACAAATAATGAAATATAGAATTTTAACACAATAGGTGTCTGTATTTTTATGTGACTTAATAAAGGGAAAATGTGTTTTTTAACAAAGAAAGAAGGACAGAAATCAATTGGATAGCTATTAACATTAAAATGAAAAATGTTGCAATTTATTCAACATTTGACTTTCTCCTCCCTTTGTGTGTATGAAGATAAGAAAGACACACATATACATTGCCATTTACCAACACACACACAAACTTGTGTAGGCTAATGAAACATCTTCTTAATAAAAAAAAATCATATATTTTTGTAATATAAATTTGATCAAAGCTCTTATTTATTTCACGAGTCATATAAGATTATTTTACGTTAGTTTTAGGGTATATAAATGAGTGGGTACGAGTTTGAGCTTGAATTGAATTTTTATCGAACCGCCACATCATTAACTGAACAAGTCAATATATTAATTAGAGCTCGACTCATTTATTAATATTTGACAGTCGAACTTCACTTGTAACAAGCTGACATGGGATTCTATCGATTTTAAAGAGGCGATCATTAACGAACTACTCATTTCGTGTAACAGCTCTACAAGTTACATGATATGGGGGTTAATTGGTAATTTCCCCAAGAATTTGGCGTGGCAGGGGATGTGAACTCTGGCATTATCAACAGGCTCATCACCTTCAAATCCCCCAAAAAAAGTCAAAATTGGAATCGTGGTCAAATTCCCAAATGCTTTCACTGGTTCGTACGCCCTAACCACCTGCAATCGGCTACTTGACGAAAACCATGGAGGGAAATTACAGAGCCACTCGAATGGCGGTGCTGATTCTGCTCTTACTCAGCTCAGCCGTACCGAGTTCACTCGCTTATCGACCCGGAGACATCGTCCCGATGAGCCGCATGGGGCAATACCACTCTGTAAGCATCTCCCGCTTGTAAATGATTCTGATGCGAGTCGATTTACGATTTTTCTGTTGATTACGAGCTATCTATTTCCTTTTTGTTTTTGGCACTTGCAGACGAGGACTGTTTGGCATGATATTATCGGCAGGCATTGTCCGATCTTTGCTGTTAATCGTGAGGTTGTGCTTTTTTTTTTTTT